AGCCTAATGTTGACTGTCAAGTAAACTTCCTTAGTTTGTAAGTACTGTGTTAGCTTACCAAGTTTAAATTATACACTTATTTACACATTCTTCCACTTGAGGTTTTTATTTAAGTTTCAAGTACAAATCAAATATATCACCACTAAACCTATTTTAAAAACAACTAGATACAGCAAAAGCTGCCAGGCTAATTTATATATACCATACACCATAGAAACTACAGAAAAAATACAAACACATACATATAAACAATATGAACTTATTCTTCATAAGATTGAAGAAAAGTACAAAAACTTTTTTTTTTTATAAAGTATTAAAATTTTGTCTCGAAAATGACAAAGTAGAGTTAGCCGGGAAATTAGTTTGTTTTGATAATACCTAAAACATTTTAAACCACTGTTTATTGATAGACATTACACAGAAACCTACATGCTACTAGGAATAGTACTTTTTTACCTACCTTCACTACGACACAGCTGCATCCAACTATCTTCCTAGCCTTGCCTTCCTTATCAATTTTACAAAGTCCAGCCCACTCCCCAAGCTTCTTGTTACTGTCCACCTATAAATAACACAAAAACACTAACAAAACGAACTTCTATAGTTTCTAACATTCCGTAGAAACAGATAAATCTATATTTATTCCATCAGAGAAAGGAGTCATTGTTTTTGTCCCAGGATATTTAAACCACTTTTTCAAATAATATTTTAAAATTCAAGACTTACAATCTGTGTATACATTTCAACAGATAGTAACTTGTTTATCCAAAAAGTTACTAAACCATCAATTTAAACATAATCAAGCTCATATCAAAAATTTCACTTTTATAAGTTTATCATAAAATGTTTCAAAAGCTTCAATATAATTAAATTTAGTGTAATATTGATGATATAATTCAGATCCTCAAACAATTATTATGGATTTAAGAAGATTATGCTTTACTAACCTTGATAAGATTAATCTGATGCTCAGCACAGAGAGCTTCTACTAATTTGATATACATTGCTTCATCACAATTTGTTGCCAGAACACAGAGATGAGCTTGACGCCTAGAAAACAATAACCAGTTATTTTGAAAATTATACTTCAAAATCACTCAAAACAAATAAATCACATCCATATTAACACTAATTCCTACTGCTGTATAGAAATCTTATGAATTTTGAAGATGAATGTTTCAATATTTGCTGCAGTTTTGGGAGAGGAGATAATTAATCATCCTAAAAAAATTAAGTGATTATCAAAAACAATCATTCTTCACTGCAACCTTTCAAAAGGCATTAAGCAGTACATCTTGGACCCTCAAACTCTGACTAACATCATCAACAATTAAACAGCATATCTTGGACCCTCAAACTGTTCTGACTAACATCATCAACAATTAAACAGCATATCTTGGACCCTCAAACTCTGACTAACATCATCAACAATTAAACAGCACATCTTGGACCCTCAAACTCTGAAGTTCTGACTAACATCATCAACAATTAAACAGCATATCTTGGACCCTCAAACTCTGAAGTTCTGACTAACATCATCAACAATTAAACAGCTCATCTTTCCTCAGGTGGGTTCTGGATTTGTCTTCCCATAACATTCAGTAGAGGGAGCCAAATTTTCATCATTGGAAAGATGAAGCTGACTAAAATAATTACATAAATGAAAAACATCATTCAAGAATTGATGACTGCCTTTATGCTATTACAAATTATTAAAATAATCTTAAGTAAACCATTTCAATATCACAGATGTCAAAACATGCCGATGATTAACGGATTGTAGAAAATGGTGTTTAAATATAGTTAGGCTTCGTAGTAAGTACATGAACACATGTTCCTTACTCTTTATAGGCAAGAGATTTTTGTCAGGAATAATCCAATATTCTTGTACACACAGATCTACATTACAGAAAATGTCCACATAAAATTACTTTCACTGTAAGCTACTTAATCAGAAAATTAAAACTAAACAAACGAGAGAAAAATGGTTGTACACACTGTACGTTAATAAACAGCTCTTGTAGTTGTCACATTCAAGCAGTTCACTCAATAGTTTTAATGATTGTATATACTGTACCTTAGTAAACTCTTGTAGTCATCACATTCAAGTAGTTCACTCAATACTTTTAATGGTTGTACATACTGTACCTTAGTAAACTCTTGTAGTCATCACATTCAAGTAGTTCACTCAATACTTTTAATGGTTGTACATACTG